CTGGGAATGCTCCAGCTTTGCACCTGCTTATGCTTCCTGGAGCTGCTGCCTGGGAACGCACCCAAATCCTGCCCCCACCAGGGCTTGGTGGGGCTCGTGAGGGCTCGGAGCTGGGTTGCCAGGCCCCCATTGCTGCAGCCAGGGCTGCACTTGTCCCGAGCCCCCCAAAACGGGGGGGCAGCAGGGCCCTAGGCCGCACCTCTGATCCTGCGCCCTTCACCTTTGGTTCACCAGCCCTGCACCCGGCTGTAAAACTTTATCAGTTGGGAAAAGTTCACCCGGGAGCCCTGACACCCAGCCGGGGGACAGGAGCAGGGCTGAGCCAGCAGCTGGGGGCTCGGCTTGCTAGAAGCCGGGTCATTAGTGGCTCCAAGGTCACGAGTGATCCCCCGGCAGGGAATCCCTGCCCGCGGGGATGCCCCTAACTTCACCCGCAGCTGCGATGGGGTCTGGGAAGCACTGCTGAGGCTTGTTGGCACCTGGGACTCTGCTCCCCCTTGCCCAGAGCGGGGGGCAAGGGGGCACCCCTAGCCCTCCCTGCAGCCCTGGGGCCCAGGCTGCCAGTCGCCCCCACGGAAAACCAGCCCCTTTCCTCCCCCCTACAGCGTCGGGGCCAGGGCAGGGCCACAGGGCCGTCCTCCCATGGAGCCAGGGGCCACTGGGACCCCGGGGTGGGTGACAGAGGGGGTTTGCCCAAGGCTCTACACACTCACCTGCCCTGGGCGAGCAGATCGATGGCAGCAAGAGAGCGGCTTGGGGGAGGCAGGGACCTGGCTGGGATGGAGCTGTCCAAGGTTCGCTCAGCCTGGCAGGACCCGCCTCCCAGCACCACCCCCCCCTTCCTGCCCTGCTGAGGCAGCCCTGAGACTGCAAAGGAGAGAGGAGACCGGGCCCTGCCCCGCAGCTCAGGCACCTGGGGAGTGGGGGGGAAATCCGCCCATTTTACAGACAGGAAAGCCGAGGCAGGCGGGGGCTATGCAACTTCCCAAGGCTGCCTGGGCAAGAGATGGTGGAGGCAGGACCGACTGAGTGCCTGCAGAGGGGCAGGCAGGCACATGAGTATAAGCACCCCAAGACCCCAGCCCCTGCTGCAGCCCCCAGCTGTGGTTTAAGGACCCCGTGGGCTGCAACCTCCCCTCCCCCAGCTGCTCGATCCCTGCTGCCTGGCAGCTGGAGCGAGTCCAGCCCCTGGGGCCCATAAAACCCAGGGTGCGGCTGAGCAAGAAGCAGAGAAGCCGCAGTCCAAAGGGCACGAGCAGGTGCAGGCTGGGGTGGGAGCCACTTACCTGGGCTCTGGGATACAGACCCCAGCCCCGTGCTCCCATCCAGAGGGCACTGGGTTGGCACAACCTCCCCACCATGCCCTGGGAACGGCATTAACCTGGGGAGGGAGCACGCAGAAGCCGGCACACACCACACAGGGACTCGGCGCCTACAAACCAATCCTTTATTAAAAAAAACGAACTGAAGCAGGAAACAAAAAGCTTTGCCGACCACAGGGAAAGGAAAAAAAACATTTGAAAGGTAGCCAGGAGGGGCTGGGGGAGTGCAGGCAGCTGGGAATGGCCCAGCCCAGCCCCCTCGTGCCCCCTGGCCCGACATTCAGCTTCTCACTGCAGCAAGGAACAGAGCTGTTGCATAGGTTGCCGGCTTGTGGCCCCCAGGGCAGGTGCCTGGGCAGGGTGGAAGGGAAGGGGCTAAGGCCCAGTTTATTGCTTACACAGTTGCATTATCATTGCGTTTGTCGAGGGGAAGGTCCCGGCCGCTGGGACCAGGAGGGCAAAGCCTTCCGGGGAGGGGACACGCATGGCAGGCAGAGCCCAGAGCCAGCTTTGGTGCATGGATGCTGCTCCAGGCTAGCCTGCGAGGGGGTAATGCCCTCCAGCCCCAATCACAAGCCCCTGGGAGGCCAGGCCCGGGGGCCCAGAGGGTTTAGGCTCTTGCCCTGATGAGGACGGCGGCTGCGTGAGCAGCTGGGGCCCCCTGGAAGATCCGTGTCCCGGGGCAGGGTGGACACGGTTGTCACACACAATCGCGGGCTTCTCAGGCCCGCCCTGGGTGAGCCCACGAGTCTTTGGTAAGTGTTAGCATGAGCAGGAGCTGCCCACACCCATCCCTTGCACACGCACACACACACCCATGCCCATCCCTTGCACACACGCACACGACTTCTCAGAAGTTGCCTGCCGATCACGCCAGCATTGGGTGCACAGGGCCCGAGTTCTGCTCCTGGAAATGAATGTCCATCCCCCTGGGGACGGGGCCCCGCATTCCCCTCCTCCCTGGGGTACCGGTGCAGAGCCCCCAGCCTCCCCAGAGTGAGAGCCAGCTCCTGCCCACAAGCCTCAGCCCCAGCA